TGTTCCTTCGTAGCAAAACTTCCATGCACTAGAGATGTTGACTGCGTCTCTGGAGTTAATACATGTATTGTTTAATCCCGCTTTATAAATTTCTAAGGTCTCCATGATTCTTAGTTGGTCAGTACGGTGTGATAGCCTAACTAGACTGGCATTCTGCAGATCCACCGTAATTCCAGGCTCCGTGGCTACTGTTGAAAGGGTGGTGGAGTGTTTATTGTTATCAATATCATACTTATGCTCCTTAAGACGTTTGCGGAGGGAGCGTTTGGTTGAGCCCACATATACTAACTTATTATTAAATCTGTCATCCCAAAGGGGTATAGAATACACCCCCGGTGCGTCCTTCAAGTCAATCCCATCCTTCCCGTTTCGGAGTAAGCCGTAAATGGATCTTGGCCTACTGTACGTTATTTTGTTATTAGTGCGTGAAGAGATTTCTCTGTATAATGTGTCAAGCTGGTGGTTGTACTCTACTATTTTTCTTTTACGGTTGTCGTCAGGCGGAAGTTCTGGGATATCCGGAGTATTGCGCGTGTTCTTCCGCATATATGCCCGTGCAATATTATATACCAAGTTCTTACTGTATCCATGCTGTGTGGCTATTTCCTGGATATGCTCCAGCTCAGCTATGGTATCTTCCCATTCAGAATGGTGGGTGAAGGCTCTCTTAGTCAATGCCCGAAATGCCGCTATCTTATAGGAGTAAGGATCCTCCGAGTTAGCTGGGATGAACATTGGTACATAACACTTTTTGTAAAAAACTTTGAACGAAATCCCATTATTTATTAATTGAATATCAACGTCAAGAAAATGTACGGCCCTATTGCTTTTTTGGTCAAGCTTAATGCTTAGGCCATACGGGTTGTTGTTCATTTTACTTATGAACTGGTTGACGTTAGGTTCCGTTCTCCATACGATAATGACATCATCGACATATCTCCTGTACACGAGTATGTTGGAATCGTAAAGAGGTATAACTTGTTGCTCCAGTCTCCTTATAACCAGCTCACATAGATCCCCCGAAAGAGGGCTCCCCATTGGGACACCCCGTTTTTGGAGGTACGTTTTGCCGTTAAAACGGAAGAAGGATGAGTAACACAATATGTGCGCTAGCTCTAAAATGTGTTTTCGATGACATTTTAGAGCTAGCGCACATATTGTGTTACTCTTCCTTCTTCCGTTTTAACGGCAAAATGTACCTCCAAAAATGGGGTGTCCCAATGGGGAGCCCTCTTTCGGGGGATCTATGTGAGCTGGTTATAAGGAGACTGGAGCAACAAGTCATACCTCTTTACGATTCCAACATACTCATGTACAGGAGATATGTCGATGATGTCATTATCATATGGAGAACGGAACCTAACGTCAACCATTTCATAAGTAAAATGAACAACAACCCGTATGGCCTAAGCATTAAGCTTGACCAAAAAAGCAATAGGGCCGCACATTTTCTTGACGTGGATATTCAATTAATAAATAATGGGATTTCGTTCAAAGTTTTTTACAAAAAGTGCTATGTACCAATGTTCATCCCAGCTAACTCGGAGGATCCTTACTCCTATAAGATAGCGGCATTTCGGGCATTGACTAAGAGAGCCTTCACCCACCATTCTGAATGGGAAGATACCATAGCTGAGCTGGAGCATATCCAGGAAATAGCCACACAGCATGGATACAGTAAGAACTTGGTATATAATATTGCACGGGCATATATGCGGAAGAACACGCGCAATACTCCGGATATCCCAGAACTTCCGCCTGACGACAACCGTAAAAGAAAAATAGTAGAGTACAACCACCAGCTTGACACATTATACAGAGAAATCTCTTCACGCACTAATAACAAAATAACGTACAGTAGGCCAAGATCCATTTACGGCTTACTCCGAAACGGGAAGGATGGGATTGACTTGAAGGACGCACCGGGGGTGTATTCTATACCCCTTTGGGATGACAGATTTAATAATAAGTTAGTATATGTAGGCTCAACCAAACGCTCCCTCCGCAAACGTCTTAAGGAGCATAAGTATGATATTGATAACAATAAACACTCCACCACCCTTTCAACAGTAGCCACGGAGCCTGGAATTACGGTGGATCTGCAGAATGCCAGTCTAGTTAGGCTATCACACCGTACTGACCAACTAAGAATCATGGAGACCTTAGAAATTTATAAAGCGGGATTAAACAATACATGTATTAACTCCAGAGACGCAGTCCACATAATTAGGTGTAATATGGTTTTATTGCAAGCGCAGGTTGCGCGTGATTTGACGACATCGCTACAAGAGCGTGGTGTTCTATTTTTGATATTAGCGTTGACGTTCGAAGATTTGAATCACAGTTATTTGGTTTCTGTTCGATTTCGCACTGTTTGAATTTTTGTAACGGTGGCCTGATGAAGACCCTGGTAGGGTCGAAAATGTTTGCTTAAACGAGTATCACTGGAGATTTGGAAGGTTTTTATACAGGTAGAAGGAAGTATATTACCTCCAGTATTTGATAGGAAGTTCAGTTGTTAATCACGGTAAAATACATCAATACTGTCTTATTAAGATTTATATTAAGATTGAGATTTTGAAAGCTGGTTTAAAATCTATATAAATTATATAAAATGTGTTTATAATTTTAATACCATTGGCAAAAGTTATTGTTAAAGAAGCAAAGTGATTTAAAATAAGATATTTCTTAAAATTGAACATTGTTGAATATTTGTGATGAGAAAGAAATCTTAAAAGAAGTAGTCATTAACTTTTACAAAGTATTGTACCTAATAAATAATAGTTATTTAACCATGAAGTTATTATAGAGTTTAAGACAAATTTATTATTTAGAATGCTTAAAAGTATTTATGGTTTAATGGAATCATAAGCTTGTGATATATCAAAATAAACTTACATGTAATTGGGTAATTTTTCCTCAAATTTATTGTTAATTTATATTGAGTATTTAATAAATTCATAACATTAAAATGATGAGGTAGATCACAGTGTTTATTAGAACTTATTTTACTGGTAATTAGATTATTTTGCAGAATTTTTTTTTTACAGAACATTGTGCTTACCTTTATGTAGTATAATTGTTGCATTCATAACAAAATTCAAAGACATATAATTAAAGATTTATAAATGATGAAAACAATATTGCACAGAAAAATAAACCTTAAAAGATATTTTGTTTTAATAAGGAGAATTCTCAAATGTTGTTATTTTTTAAATGTAGAACAATTTGAAAGACATTTCAAGCTAAATCTCAATAACTCTTGCAGAAACCTTGGTGCTTACCTCTGCACTCAATTTAATAATCACACACAAATGTTTTTAGCTCCATTTAGGTACAGCTGTTCCATCAAACTCAATGAATACAGAATAAATTTTTAAAAAATTCTACAAGAACATTTCATCAGCAGAGTGATGCAAATTTAAAACAAACATTTCTGTACAGGTTTTTCAAGAAAGCTAAAATCTCTTTATTAATTACTGATATGATATTGACCTACATTTTAAAAAGAACATTGTTTAAAAGTTCCTATGAATTTAATCTTTATTTTACAAAGACATTTTTACAAGTATCTGATGTCACATGAACTTTTAAGTAATTTTCATAAGTATAGGTGGAGAAGGGCCTATAAAGAAAGATCAACTCTGTTAATGCTAATTTTGCTCTGGTGATTGTGAGTGGAATGTTCAGAAGACTTCAGAAACTTTTTCCTTTTATTTAGTCTTCAATATTGTTCATTTTCCAAAATATTAACTCTTATGTTTTTGCTATTGCTGTAATGTAATTTTAACTACATCCAATTTTGTTAATCTAAGAATTTGGGTGTGTACCATTAAGCAAAACCTAGTATATGTAACTTGTGATGGGAAAAATCTTCCACTACTTATAACATTATTGAATGAATTTTGAATTATTCAACATTTAATTTTATAATAATTTTTGATTTTTTGGCTTTCTTAAATATCAATATAAGAGAAGAGATTATGTTTGATGTTATGGTCTAGTTTAAAATTAACTAAAATTACATTGCAAAATGCAATATATTGTGATTAAATGATAAGAAAAGCAGTTGTTTTTGCCTACTGTTAAGTTATAAAACAAAAGTTATCAATTTTACGAGGGCTATTTTTTAAATAAGGTCCGTTTTTTAATAATAAGAAAAATACTGTAAATATCATTAAAATATATTTTTTCACATATTCTACATACTTTTATCTACTTTTCTACATAATTTCCATTTTTGTTCAAACATTTGTCATATTGCTCAAAAATATTTTAAATTCCGACTTCAAAGGAATCTGCCGTCAGAAGACATTAGGCCATGCCACCTGTCTTGTATGGCAAGGCGTAGTATTCTCAAGGTCAAAATAAGCATCAGAATTGATTGTTGTGCCTCTTGGTATAAAATCCACTAACAAAGTCCCTTTCCTGTCCTAAAAGACAGTTACCACAATCTTTTGTGCTGAAATCAAATAACAGATTGTATCTTACAGTTGGCAGGCAACTCAATTTTCTTAAACATTATAAACTTCTACAGTTCAGCACATAGACAGATGATATGGCTGCAAATGGCATCTAAACATGTGCAAAGCATGCTGAAAGCAGATGCTCATGCACACTGCTGCAATTCCGCGTCATTCTCACTCTCATTCACAAACAGACCTTATTTAAAAAGTAGCCCTCGTACAAATGAAAATGACAAAAACTGAAATAATGCAATTAACGAATTGTTTTAAGAAAAACTTTAATTCAAACATAGTTTCCATAGATATATTTTTATTCCATCAATAAAATGTAGTCCATGTAGAGCTGGTAATGTACTGATATAGGATATTATATTATTAAATTTAGCAAAGAAAAGTTGAATTTTTTTCTGGGTTTTTTTTTACAGTTACTTCAGAAAATCAAAAATTTATTATACTCGCATAGTAAATTTAAAAATTTATAGTTAAATGTGATAATATATTCCTACAGTAACGTAACAATTTAAAAATATTTAGTTTCCTGATGATGGTGATTCAGATAGTGCAAGTCAACAAGAACGTGACTGGAAATTTCTTCGAAATGCAACAATCAGGAAAAATGTACAAGAAGAAAGGAAAAGACTAGGTAACATTTTATTCTTTAAAATATAGATCATATTTTTAGTTATAACTGTGTGTGTGTACATATGGTATCTATTTATCAAAAAATAAATTAGATATATATGTTACAGTCAAAACCCGTTTTTAGTTAGAACGCGTTTTAACTAATTAAAACTAGTTTATACTGAATGTCTTTGTTAAAACCCGTTTTGTCTAGTTAAAACTAGTTTTAACTCAAATTCATTTTTGACTACAGTAAATTCTAGTTTTAACTAGACAAAATCGGTTTTGTCTAGTTAATTTACTGCTGTACATGTTTTGACTTTAGATAAAACTAGTTTTAACTTTTAACATTAGTTAAAACTAATTTTAGCTACATAAATATGTTTGGGGGAAATAAAGTTATGTATAGTGATTCGGCGGAAGATGCCTAACATTTTGCTTATGAAGAAAATTACAGCGCTAATTTGAGTTTAGGAGCCCTCTAATGAAAATATCATATTCTGGAGTATGTCTTTCAAATAAAAGTTTGGAGTTTATTTTAAAAAATTCTATACTGTGTTTGCAATGACGACTTTTTCACTGTCTGGCATTTTAAGCATCTCACCCCAAGTATCTGGGTGAGATGCCAAATGCCATTAGGGTAAGATAACAAATATAATTGCTTAAAATTAATTTTTGAATTTCTTAACCAAATTTAATTTATTGCATATGTAGTACAAAGTACTTCATAGTAAGTATAACAGCACAGTATAAGTATTGTTAAGTTTCCGCCCGTTCTAACGTGTTCTATAGCTAGCTGAAAGCTTTTTTCAGTCCAAAAACTTTTTTGAGAAGTCCTTATATAATTTCTATGCATATCCTGCAATAAAACGAGAAAACAAAAGTTTATTAAAAATAGGCATATTGGAAATCAATTAACAAAAAATAGGCACGTTACCCCAAGAAAAATGTGGCATATTTTCCATTTGTTGGGGTAAGATGCCTAGTAGAGTCACGTGCTCCAGCATGTCCGATCGGGATCGGCGGTAGCTGACAATGGAAACTTTAGAACCTTAACTACATCACACATTAATTGTTTTTAGCAATTTTTAATAAATTCCATTTTAACTTTTAGTTTAAAATTATTCTAGAAACATTTCACAACAAAAACTTCGTTCTTATCTAGCTTTTATTCTTCTCGGATGTAGAAAATGAAGTAACGGTAGCCAACTACAGCTTTCCGCACTCAATATTGGCCCAACGATTCATCATACAAATACATGACAATATGTGACGTCACCGTTTGAAAATATCAAAAATTAGGCATCTTCCCCCGCTTACCATCTTACCCCGAATCACTCTATGCGTTGCAGTCAAACCAGTTTTTAGTTAGGATGCGTTTTAACTAGTTAAAACTAGTTTATACTGGATGTCTTTGTTAAAACCCGTTTTGTCTAGTTAAAACTAGAATTTACTGCTAGTCAAAAATGAATTTGAGTTAAAACTAGTTTTAACTAGACAAAACGGGTTTTAACAAAGACATTCAGTATAAACTAGTTTCAACTAGACAAAACGGGTTTTAACAAAGACATTCAGTATAAACTAGTTTCAACTAGTTAAAACGCGTTCTAACTAAAAACGGGTTTTGACTGTAACATATACATTAAATTAGAGAATGAGCTTGAAAGGTAGAAATAAAAATGAAAGTTTAGGATAGAGTTAGATTTAAATCTTAGTTTGATTTAAAATATGCTTCATTTGAGGAAGAAAAAATCTAAATATACAATTGAAACTCTCTAATCCAGTAATCTGTGATTAGCAATTTTTATGGTACAGCATGTTTTAAGTCTGTCACCATTAGTTTGCAGATTGGTTATTGGGATGACACCTTTAACGTTGCCAAAATGTTGTGATCATCAGTTTTATTTTCTTTTGTTTCATTTCATTTAGAATTATTAATTGATATGTACAGCACTTTGATGTTATTTGGAGAACATGTATAGGGTGACTGGTCTATACAAGAAATTTGATATTGACAAAAAATAATTGAAAGTTTGTCCCAGTTTGAGGTTTTTATGAATAAAGTATGCTTGTAAATTGGAGTTACAATTTAGTTTTAAAACCAATATTTAAAGTAGAAGTAATACAAAAACAATCTAATGATTAAATGTTAAAAATATTAAAACAACTTAATTAACTGGAAATAAAACCTAGTTAATATAACATTAGAATTTATTATTAATCTTTTAATTTATAAAAATTGAATACAGTTTTGTTAATTTTATATTATTTTGTACTTTTAATTAAGTTTTTATTGGAGTTAGTGATTATAGTTAATTATTACAGTAACATTTGTATTGCTACTCTAACAAAATTTGTAAAATAAAATTTTTTTTTCAATTATTTATAACACTTGTTTTAAATGTATGTTTACATATTTGATATATGCAATATGGTAATAAAACATAATATAATTATTTTATATTTTAGCTAAAGGAAAGTTAGATGAACAAGTTTTTATTAATAAAAATCCAAGTATACCTTCTGTGATACTTTTTCATCCTTATGAGTCTCATCTTGTTGTTACAGATAAAGATTCCTACAGGTAACATTTAATTATAAAAATAGAGTAAGAAGTTTTATTACACTTAATATACATTCTGTCAAATAAATACTGCAAATTGTCCATTTCAAAAGCCTGTGTAAAAGATATGAAAACAAACTTTTTGCTGTAAGTTGATACTAGTTTACTTAATTGTTAAGTGAACTTTACCATCTGTCAACCAGTTTATTTACAACTGTTGCTTTCAAATATTAAGAGTAATATTTGAATAAATGATATAATATATATATATAGTTAACTAAATTAAGTAAGATATAAATTATCTTTAACACTGTATTACTAATTTATTAATATTCAGTACAGTGGAACCTCGCTTAATGAGCACATTTCATAATGAGCAAAACAAATTGTAAAAAAATGACTTGCTTAACAAGCGATGTTTCACATAACGAGTGATGAGGAGAAGGGAAGTCCCGGATTGTGAACATGCTACAACAGTATGTGTTTAGCACTCATTCTGCTAGCATCTTAGTGTTGCTTGTTATCACACATTTTTCCAAACTTGTATTCAGACATATTACATATAAACATCAACAACCATAACCTGTTATATAATAAAAACGCCAAATGATATGCCAAATTCTTGGGCTATGTAAAGGTTATAATTAAATATTAGAAATTAATTAATTTGATTAGAGGTAGGAAGTTATGATGCCATCTCGTATTAAATATGTTAAGAAGTTGTAAATGTAATCTTTAAAACTTAGTATTGTTGCACCCTCTACTCTACGGTCTGCTCCTTGTTTGAACTGGTGAAAACCCTGTTAAGTAGCACATGGCATTCTTACCTCCATTTTTTGTGTTACCTTCGACTAGAACCTACATAGATTCGAATCCTTACAAAATTTAATGACCAATTCCAAATTAAATTCCATACATGTTTAAATTAAAAATTAATTATTTAAAATTATTAAATTTAATATGCATTCCAGGTTGGTTCATTTTGTGCTAGAAGGAAAGATAAAGATGATTCATGCTCCTTAACAATATATATTGTATAATTTTCTTTGAATAANAAACAAACTTTTTGCTGTAAGTTGATACTAGTTTACTTAATTGTTAAGTGAACTTTACCATCTGTCAACCAGTTTATTTACAACTGTTGCTTTCAAATATTAAGAGTAATATTTGAATAAATGATATAATATATATATATAGTTAACTAAATTAAGTAAGATATAAATTATCTTTAACACTGTATTACTAATTTATTAATATTCAGTACAGTGGAACCTCGCTTAATGAGCACATTTCATAATGAGCAAAACAAATTGTAAAAAAATGACTTGCTTAACAAGCGATGTTTCACATAACGAGTGATGAGGAGAAGGGAAGTCCCGGATTGTGAACATGCTACAACAGTATGTGTTTAGCACTCGTTCTGCTAGCATCTTAGTGTTGCTTGTTATCACACATTTTTCCAAACTTGTATTCAGACATATTACATATAAACATCAACAACCATAACCTGTTATATAATAAAAACGCCAAATGATATGCCAAATTCTTGGGCTATGTAAAGGTTATAATTAAATATTAGAAATTAATTAATTTGATTAGAGGTAGGAAGTTATGATGCCATCTCGTATTAAATATGTTAAGAAGTTGTAAATGTAATCTTTAAAACTTAGTATTGTTGCACCCTCTACTCTACGGTCTGCTCCTTGTTTGAACTGGTGAAAACCCTGTTAAGTAGCACATGGCATTCTTACCTCCATTTTTTGTGTTACCTTCGACTAGAACCTACATAGATTCGAATCCTTACAAAATTTAATGACCAATTCCAAATTAAATTCCATACATGTTTAAATTAAAAATTAATTATTTAAAATTATTAAATTTAATATGCATTCCAGGTTGGTTCATTTTGTGCTAGAAGGAAAGATAAAGATGATTCATGCTCCTTAACAATATATATTGTATAATTTTCTTTGAATAAATGTTATAAGTAAAATATTTGAGTATTTTTTTTCTGGCATGGAATGCATTATCATATTTTACATTAATTTATGTGGGAAATATTATTTTGCTTAAAGAGTGTTTTGCATTATGAATAAGATTCTGGAATGAATTGTGCTTGTTAAGCAAGGTTCCACTGTACTTATCAACAAAAAAATGAACTAGATGTTATTCAAAGACTTACTAATCATATTTAACAATTTCTTGTGAGAAGCTGGGGGTCAGAGTAAAGCTCTAAACCAGAGGTGTCTAAACTTTTTGCTGCAAGGGCCAGATTGGGATTTAAATACATTTGTGGTGAGCCACGTGGATATGTGAATTAAAAAATCTCATGACTAAGGCAGCATTGAATTTTATTTTTTACAGTTACAGATACACCAATACTAAACAAACCTGGTTAAGTTATATATAATTAGAAAATTATTTCATGCAACTTTTAATGGAACTGTGTTTTCTGCTGAAGAATTTATTTAAAGTTGGGATTAAAATCTGAAACACCAATTATAAGCAATGATTGCAAATGATCAACCGATAAATTTGCCCTGTACTTTGGTTTCAGATACTTCATCCTGGAAAAAGTTTGTTTGCACATATAGGTAGTCCCAAACATAGAAATAAATTTACAAGCAAATTGCTTTAAATTTGGAAACTCTTTGGCATTCAAAAATTTGTAAAAATCAACCAAGTTTCCTTCCTTGTATTTATTTTTGATTTGATTGTTAGCTTGAAGATCAATAATTTCCATTTGAAACTGACTTGAAACGTCGGCAGCATTGCAGTCAAATGGATTTGAAACAGCCAAATTTCCTTTGAATTCATGTCAAGATCAGAAAATCACTTTTGAAATTCTTGTTTTAAATCCGTGATGACTTTTACAGTAAATCTGGTTGGAAATTGTTCATCAGTTTCTGTATTCAATTCTTCACACCACAGGAAATGGGTAAAATTACATTTATTCATCTGACTTTCGAACAATATCAGCTTTGCCCTGAATGCTTTGATTTGTGTGAATAAATCACAAATTAAGTTGTTTTTACCTTGGAGCTTTAAGTTCAAGTTATTTATGTATGACGCAACATCTGCATAAAAAGTCAACTTCCAGAGTCACTCGGCATCTGATAAAAGTGGTTCAGGGTGATTTTTCTTTACAAGAAATTAATTTCATTTCTAAGCCTAAAGAACTGCAATAGCACTTTTCCACAACTAAGCCATTAAACTGCATTATAATATGACAAGTCAACAAATTCAGATTCAATTTGTCAATTCCAGCATCCTCTTTCAATCTCTCAAAAATCAGCTTAGCTTGAGAGCACACTGTGTTCTGATCAACAGGACAATTTTTCACATTTACTTGATTATCACACCATAATTTTAACATTGTTTCCATCTCAGTTATATTACTGTGATATTTATGAATGATGCTTGAATCTAATGATTGAGCATTTTTCACAGCTTTAAAAATTTTTTCTTTACCTTTTATAATTGTTCTGACCATCAATTCTTTGCCAATTCACAAATTTTCATTTTTGTATCGAAGTCTTTAATAATGTTAACTTTACATTCCAAAGATAAAGTTTTTCTTTTCTTGTTTGATGCAAAAAAATCAGCTCTACTTCGTTTGGATGACATAGTAGAGTGTTAAGATTAATCATATTCGTTATTGTAAACCGTGCTTAAGTTAGGCGCCATCTGTTCATTTCTTTTGTATGTCTGACAATCAAAAGATTGGTTGGGATCGAGTCTGTTTAATTATAATTTGAAAGATAATCTTGTCAGTTATATATACAAAAGGTAAATTGTTCTTGAGTCTTTGTTTATTATCTGTTAAATGTATACTTTTTTCGTCAATTGTTTACGATTGTAGATGCCTTTTGTATAAAATCCAAGTCGGATGTATGTAAGCTAGTAAATGTTCTCGTTAATCTTATCTTGCCTTTTGGTTCGTTCACGATTACAAGAAATCACCACATAGTCTCTCAAGTCTCCGTAGATATAACAAACAGAAATAAATTACACAAAATAAATTGTAGCTATGCGTCGATTCCGCGCGACACATCCAAACATGTAAGCTGAACAATAGTGTGGGAGGAGTGAATAATCAAGAGTTGTGTGGCGCTCAAACAAAAGACGAATTGCCGAGATTTGAAAATCGCGTAAGTCAGGGTATTACTGTATATATTATTTTATTTTTATTATTTTTAAAAATTAAAAATCCTTTTTTTCATCAAATGTGATTATATATATATATATATATACATTTTTTAAAATTAAATGGGTTTGCATGAAAAAATCTGTATTTTTCACCTGCCAGGCTGGGTCTGGCCTGTGGGCCGTAGTTTGGACACTTCTGCTCTAAACCCTTTTCCCAATGTCAGTCTAGTGAAGACCGCTCAATTGTCATTGGATGGCTGTTAAATATAGTTGTCTCAAGATCGTTAGATCTGGACTGTTTCTCTTGACACCAGTTAGGATAGTTGTAGTTTGCATCCTAACTTGCAATTATGCTAAATTATCATTTTTATAGGAGGGCTATATGTCAAGTGGGGAGGTGCGATGAGTCTGTTGATAGGGTGACCATTCTCCTAAGTAAGTCCACACAAGAGCTGTTTAACAACTAAAACAATTTACTGAACTGTGTAAAGTTAATATCTCAATTGACCGAGAGAGAGAGTGTACACTTCTAATTACTGTTCTACGCCCCATACCTTGTGAAAAGAACTCGATAGTTGTGGATCCGGTTTATACAATAGTCGGCAAGATGATTGTGGATCTGGTCAAGGTCAATAGAGAGACTTTGATGGAGTTGAGGGTTGGTGAGACAAGAGCTTCAGATCACACTCTCTGATGATGTCCATCCTTCAAGCTGTCTACTCTCTTCATATACTGTCTGCCCTGTAGATTGGGTGCACTCCATTATATCTCCTTTCGGTATGGGAATTTGGTAAGGTGATCTTATGTTTTCTACTGTTGACACTTTGAATAATATGTCATTGCTGGGCTGGCTAGGGCGGTGGGAATTTGACTTGTTGTCAGATTTTCACCGTGAGATTTATTTACATTTCAACATTCCCACATATCAGCAATTAAACAATCACTTGTTATAATTTTTTTGATTAACTCTTGGATCTCAAACTCTAATATGACTTTAAATTGTTCTAAAATTATTCTTTCCATGATTGTTTCTATTTTCATCTGTATAATTAGATTATAATTAGGTATGCAGAGTATAAAATGCCCTTAGAACTTTCTTTCAACAGTGATATTTTAATTATTTTTTATCTATAAAAAGCATTTGAATATCTTGTATGTGCTTCTTTAACGTTTTTTTATACCTATACTGTTGAAACTGTATTAGTATCTCTTCTGTAAAAAAGTTCATTATTTCAAGTTTCCATGAAAATCCAAATATTTTTATCTGAGTTTAAATTATTTTTAGAAGATAATTAGTAAATTTTAATTTTAATCAAAATATCATAAGTAAAGTTAATTTTATGAGATAGTTTTTGCTGAATTAATTAATAAATTTGAAGAGTTAATTTACTATATTCTTTTTCCAAAAAACAAGAAAAAAGAAAAATAACATAGATTGTTCATCTGTAATAATAAAAAATTGTCTCCTACAATCTGACCTGTTATTAGTTTGTCATGAAAGTCTTACTTCTAAGCAAATATTGGTAAAACCTGAAATACAGATGTCAGTACTATCTATTATATATATATATGAAAAAGAATGTTTTGGTTTTGCACTTAGCATTTAAACATTTAAATACAAGAAGTAAACTAGAAGCTTCCTAAAAAACAGAATCTACCACAAAATTTTGTGCAGATAATGTGGATCATAGCAATAGAACTATGTTTTGAAGATGGACAATACATGTATTTTACAAAGTACAGTCGACCCCCCCTATAACACTGTTGATTATTCTGTTTTATATGAATTCCATGTTGTACGAGTCACTTAGATTTTACAAATACGTGAACCGTTCACAGCCTGGCACACGTATTTGTAAAATCTAAGTGACTCGCACAACATGGAATTCATATAAAACGGAATAATCAACAGTGTTATAGGGGTGTCGACTGTACTTGATATTGCAGCAATCAATTTCTTTATTCCAAGTAATTTTAATAATTTCTTGGTCATTCATAAATAAATAGCAAGACAGATAATCTCTCAACAAACTGTCATCTCCCATTTATTAGAACAATTAAGTTGTTGACTACATAAAAATGAATAAGATTTTATTGTTATACCAAGAGTTTGTACTTGCACTTGCATTATAACAATGACACATGCAAATTTTCATTTATTTAATTGTTTTGGTATACACATAACGGGAAACAAAAGTTTTAATAGATATATAATATCACTTAGTGGGCCACATAATTTAACGTGATGGGCCGTGGGTTGGCCAGGCCTGGTCCATAGAGAAATTTTAGTCAGTCAAAAGTGATTTAATATAATTAATTTTATCTTTAATGCATAGTTTAATAATAATAAAATTATTTATGTATTTTTATTAAATGTAAATAAATATACACAATAAAAGCTCAATATAACAGACCACTATGGGACTGAATAAATTAGTCTGTTATAATGAAAGGCTGTGTTATCATGATTACTCGATATTGTGGACTGGTCTGCTATATTGAAAAGTCCATTAACAAGGTAAAAATGTTAATTTAGCACTGAACCTGGAGAAAACATCTGCAAACTGCAGATATTTTCTCCAGATTCAGTGCTAAATTAACATTTTTTTTACCTTGTTTCAGTGAATCTATCATCATCAATATAAGATTTTTTTTTTTTTTACTGTATCCATATAGTAATATCAACTTGTCCGTTATTGTATATCAATATTCTATGCAAAAGTCAAGTACACAGTGGACAGAATTTTAGTTGTAAAGAATATATACTAGATTTCTATTGAACTTGTAAAAACAATATATCTATCTATCAATAAATGTAAAATATAAATCTAAAGCCTTTTGTTTTCTTTTATGATCCATGGCTTTTCTTTACACAAGAAATCTAAGACTCATTACTTGTAGAAAAAACAAAATAAAAATTAAATGTAATTTAAAAATCTATATTTAAAGAATAGTTAAAAAAAACAAATTTTATATTATTCTTGTATTTATTTTTTTTGAATAAAGTAAATAAAATGATGACTATGATGAAATATTTATTTTTTAAAACTGCAATTTAGCTTAATAACCAACACTTGGCACAACATTTGTTTATTTCAGTTTTTGTGCCAAGTGTTGGTTACTATGCTAAATTGCGGTTTTAAAAAATAAATATAAAGACACAACACAGTTTCGAAATATGGAAGAATATGATGAAATAAATAAAACAATGATTGCTACAAAATAAAATAGTAACTGAAAAGTCTGTAATAACAGAAGGATAGTGGTTTATATGAGACTTGAAAAATAGTCTATAGTAGCAAGAGTCCATTATAAAGGAGTCTGTTACAATGAATGGGTTTTCTTATAATTTTCCTGTGCTCTTGGCCAGATTGACATGGTCATTCATAATAACAAGGTGTATTATATCAGGGTCCATAATATTGAGCTTTTACTGTATAACTTAAAAATCCATGATAATTATATTCCAATTTTTTGTACTTTAACACATACAAGATGAAAAATTTATAATTGAAAACAATTTAATTTAATTGCCTTTTTTATTTTTAATAAATAGATTGTGATGGAAACTCTTTGAATTGAATTAATAAAAGTTTAATTTGATATGATGAAAATTTATTTTTTAGTGTATGGGACTGGGAACAAGGTGCTATGTTAAGTTATAACAGTAATGGAAATTGCACAAATACAAGAATTACATCAGTTGATTTTATTAATGCTCATGATACTGCTCTCTTGATGTTAGGGTCTGGTAAGTTTATTTCTTTATTTTTTTAATATTTTTAAAATAAAAATAAAACTTGTTGATATTTTCTAAAACATTAAAAAAATCCTGAATTAGTGTTTAATTAACAAATTATATATTCATTAAAACTAGTTTTTTTTATAAATATAAACATATTTGGAAAAATTAGTTATAAATGGAATAAAATAGAAACAATTAAAAACAATTTCAAACATTTGTAGTTATTTTGATTAGAATCCACTTTCATATTCAGCAGTGGATACTAAACAATACAAACTATAAGAAACAGGATGATTTCAGTAGAATAATTGTTATAATACAATAAGATAAAATACAATCAATCAATCAATCAATCATTGTTTATTATGGTATAATTTTATACATGTTCTGGTACCGCAGTGAGCATCACCAGAAAATGAGGAAACAACAAATCAATAGTGTTACAGATTGTATTGAGCTACAAAATATTTATATATGAGAAAACATAAATCAGAAAACTAATAATTGTTTGTATGATCACAGTAATAAAATTTGAATATATTGTGAGTATAGGATTATATATACATTAAACAAATTGTAATTATATAGTGGTAACAAAAGAAAATGATAAATGATAAGTAAAAGAAATAATAAAATAAAATAAAAAGTTGGACAGTATGTAGCAGCTTGAGTTCAGAAGCGCTGAAGATGCAGAAAGTCATAGCGGCATAGTCTTCACACAAAAGCTTGCCAAAAGTCGATGAGGAGTCCAGGTGCATTCTAGGTTCAGTTCTATGATCAGATCTAAGTTTATATTGATATTTTAGAGACACAAAGGACCATCATGCACCTTCAGCACACGGTAGTGAGCTGTTTAATTAATTANACTCATTTCCCACGAATAACGTATAAAAGCTCGAGTCCCCGGAAGCTCAGGGCGATCCCTCGGAAGTTATACTTGGTAGATGTGCCATATTTGTCTCCATACTCCGGACCGAAAGGACATACGACCAACCACAGCCGTTTGAACTTCCATCGCCATTAACGAACATATTCAACGAACGCATTTTAGACATATCGGCATACAGGTATCTGTACTTTTTAGAGCTTTGTGAACTCTCTCTCAGACTAGCAGGTAAAGCTATTAGAGCGTCCCTTTTGTACAGTGAATTTATTTAATCGCATTTAACCTATGTATCCTAGCTTAGTTATATAAATAAATGCTTGTTTTGTTTTTAAACCTGTCTCCTGTCTCTGAAGGACACCTGCCGACTTACCGACACACTCCCCACTCAAATTTTTGCCCTCCTAGCCATCTGACTAGCCGAGAACGGGTTTTACCAACCTGTTGCAGAGTAAGTAGTCATTTGGGATGAGCCCAGTGGCCCACTGCTAATCTCACACTATTGTTTTTCTTTACTAAGAGAAATATGCAATATTTCTCTTAGTAAAAATCACAATCACAATTAAAAATACTGTAAAAATCACAATTAAAAGTACTGTATTATGTGTTAATATTAATTTTAGTTAAACAAGGGTGTTTTATTTTTACAAAATATTGTCATCTTCTGAGCTTTTCTCTTGATCTCGATCAGAAATATCAGTAGCATCTTCATTTTTTAAAATTTTTACCATAAAATTTTTTATGTATGACAAAATAAAAATAAAAATACGTTATTAATAGAAAATTTGTTCTAGCAGGTTGTGTTTGTTTAATCAAGGACCAAGCAATTTTTTTCCCTCCAGAATTTGTGTTCAAATGCCAAATAGTTTGAGTACCAAGATACTGCTGTATTTCATTCATTTTTATAAATGATAACCTTTTTTTTTAACTTTAGGAAAGTAAATAACACTTACCCTAAAAATATTTAAATAAATTTTACTAAATACAAAAATTAAACTATAAAAACAAAACACAGTGACATAAATATATATATATATATTTTTTTTTTCTTTATATATATTTGAGACAGTAGGGCATCGATTATTTGAATCAATTGGGGACTGGGGTTGTTCGGAAAATTGATATTTCGGATAACCAATTATGTGCAAAAAAATATATTAATTTATATCATGTTCGGTATTGATAAGTTGTTGTGTCGATGGTAGTAAGAATGCCCGTCTGATCAAGGGAGCTATGGCCGCATTAACATATTGCTGTGGTTGACAGGCTGTGGCCGGTATTATGGGTGGGATATTGCCAAATTTGTGATAGACGGAAAACTTCAAGCCTTCCTGGGATTTTTGAATGTGCAAGTCCAAGAAAGCAATTTTTCTCCCAACTTCCTTCTCCCACATGAAGTGTATAGTGGCATACATTTTTGATAAATGGTGTTCTAATACCCGGAAGGAGTCTTCCGTATCCTGCCACGCCAAAAGAATATCATCTACGTATCTTAAATAAATTAAGGGGTAAGCTATGGTGAGAGGGAATTTAAAAACACTGNACCTCTATTGACAAATATTGGGCTTTATGTCAGGCTGTTGTATAATCGGTCTTTGATTAATATTCTTCTTATGGAGAGGTTAACTGGCGATTCTGGGCTGACAGAGAATTCGTAATGAGATGAAGATGCAGCTGGGTTTGGAGACTGTTGATGAAGAGCCAGAGCAGGACTTTGCTCTTCCTATGGCTTCCATACTTCCATACGGCATTGTTCATTTCTCCTTTGACTGCCTCAAGTTTGCATTTTTACCCCCTTTTTATACTAAATTCCCCTCCAATTGGGTTTTAGGATTTAACATCTGATGGGGTATTTGTTCTGACACATGTGGCCAGATGTTCATCGGATATGTATGATAACATCTCTCCCAAAGGAAGTTTTATTTCCCTTCCCACAAATTTGATGTATATATATATATATATATCAAATAAAGAATATTTCACTTAAAAGTTGTGAAATTTTGTATGAAGGATTTTTACAAAATCTGAACCTTGTTAGAGAAAAACCAGAACCATGTTTTACAGGGGATATCCCCAATTTTCCAACTGTGTTGTAGAAATGTTGTGTTGGTACAAGGGATACCTGTATTTTGGAATTGTATATTGCATTTTATAAAATTTATAAATGTAGTAAGTAGATTATTTAAACATAAAATAATTTATAACTTTATGTAATATAACAGATTTTATTTTATTTTGTGAGTCTTAGAAAATTAGAGTGATATAATTCCAAAAATATTTAAACTATTTAAAATATTATGACATCATAAATTATTTTATTGTATTAAAAATAAAAAGTCAAACTAATTATGTCTTAATCAATATTGGAATATATCAAAGAAACTTACTTGTTAGTTAAAATAAGAAAATTAATAATGATTGGAGTAATTTTTAGATGAATAAATGACTACAGCTAATGTGATGTAATGTTATGTAATTTTTTAAAATTAATTTGTGTAATAATTTCCATAAATAAGGGTAGACTTACTTTTAGAAACATTATAATTAATTTTAAAAATTATTGTTTATTATCATAAGAACTGTAATATTTATTAATTCATTGCATTGATGCTAAAGTATAGAACAAGTAATAGAAAATAACATTTATGTATGTTTGTGGCAGACATAAACTCTCATCTCATATTGAAATGATCTGTAATAAAAATGAAGATGAAGAAAACAGAAGTTTGTAGGTAGCTAGAGTAGAGACAAAACTTTTAAGGGCGATATGGGAGTTGATAGTCAACTAGATGAAATTGGTTTATCATAACAAAGAGATGATTTAATGAAAAATCTATCTGTAGGAAATAGAGGAGAATGTAAATTTTCAAAAGAAAGAGGAGGTCTTAGAAGGACTTTTTTCACAGAGGTCATAGGGAAATTGGAAATGAAACAGGACCTTCCTGAAAAGAAGGATCCAAGGAGTTACCAAGTGATAATGGTGCAAAAAGAAATGTAGGATCTTCATGATTACTTAGTTTATTAGAAAAAAAGAGAAGTGGACCTGTGGAGAATCTGGTGATGAAAGCAAAATTGGTTCTCCTGGACCTATTAACTTTCTCTTCTATTAACTATATTTTTGGTTGCTGCAAGAAAACTTGATTTAATTAACTCACCATCAATAAATAGTTTCCTTGATTGTCTGATAAATGAGCCATTCAGAAACTTACTGTGGTTTCAACCTAATTTTTTTTTTTATGATGTAATTCTGCTAAGATGAGATACTATAATTTAAATTTTCTAATTTCACTGATCATTGTTTATTGTGTTGAGTGCTTAGTCTGGTAATATTAATATATATTGTAATTTTTTAGCACAGTTATAGTATCATTGCAATATAAACACAACGCTTTGCCTTCTAATTAAAGAACAAAATACTCCACACTACACAATGCTTCAAAAGCATATTTGAAGTCCACTTTTGATGTGATGAGTAAGCACTGGTAATGACAAAGTAAAATAAAATGTTACTGTATGATATGTGCAGCACTTGAAATGCTGTCAAGTTAAATAGGATGCACATAGAATGGAAAGACAGTTATTAAAATCACATTGCTGTTTGAGGAAGAACGGCCATTTATGTGACAAGTCACATTTTTTTTACTGCACATGATGTATATTCAAGATAGATGAAAATTATTGCTATAGTCATTTAAATGTTATATTTTAATATATCAATAAGAAAAGAAAATAATTGTAGATTAATTAATAGATGTTGACAAATGCCTTCTGAGTTTTATATAGCAAAATCCATTTCCAAACTTTTTGCTGTAGTAAAAGATTTGTGGTGTCAATTCAAAACATCAGATCATATGCAATGAATCAACTTTAATAGTGGCTGTCTGAAGTGCAGCAATTTTTACTGCAAATATTTCAAAAGTTAGATTTGCACCTATTTTCACAGAACCACAAAATGACTCTGCAACATATGATAATTGTTACTGCAAACATGCCATTTTCCTTGGTTTGCTGCAATCTGATGTGTGTATCTGTGTCACTGTAATTTATAATGTGCCAAGCAGCAGTGTGAAGTAATGAGAGCACTACAGTTATACAGTATCTGTTATAACTGCTCATCTCTGTC